CCTTGTCCCAGTTTCCAAGTTGCAGCTATTGTACCCTGGAATGAGACCCAGTAGAAGCAAAGTTTACAAGAAACTGCAGTCATTGTCCATACAATGCTTGGACAAGATACAAATTAAAGCTAGTTAGAAATTACAAGTAGGCACAAATGCAGATTTGGAGACATCTGGCATTTAATTAAAATATCTCCAGTAAGAGAAATTAAAAACGGTAATAAAACAAATCCCACTGAACATTTCTGCATAAACCTTTAATATTTAAAACTGGTCACTTGATATAAAAGGTAACAGGTTGTACTGCACAACTTGTTCACATGGGAACATTTTGAAGCAGTTCCAAGTATGCTGCAGACGCACGTTGCCAAGACCTAGGAGATCAAATTCAAAACCCTGTAGAGTCAGACCACAAAGAGCTAGGGATCAAATACTTTTTTTAGCCAGGAGTTAAAAAAAAAAAAAAAAAAAAAAAGTACTGACATTTAGTGAATTGTTATAAGGCAGGGAATATCTGCAAGTCAACAAGGCCTCCTTTTCTCAAGCATATTTCAGTATAACTGGCTTATATCTGCAAACAAACATTACAACTTTGTTCCTGCAAAAACTATCCCATTTACAAAACTTGTTAGCACTGTTTAGCCCATCAAATATCACTTTCAGTAGTCTTGAGAAAGAGAATTTCACAAAACCACACCAGACAAGTCACTTGGCTAGTAACTCACAAGCTGGTTTTGACAATGTAGTAGGGGAAAGAAAAACAAGAGCTAAACCACGTGCAGTCTCCTGTAGCTTAAAGCACACACTGATGCAGGCATCCTACACATTTCCAATGTCAAAATGAGAAATCACTTCAATCTCAACTTCAGAATAAGATCTGAGGTTGCTCCTGAACCAGGCATTAGTATGAGATATACTGGGATCTATTACAACTTCTATATATCCACCCTATGCAAGTTAAGTTGTTCTTACTAGAAATTATCCTGCCATAATGTTGTAGAGTATGTAATTCCAGATATTGTGTTATTCTAATGTAGCCATTATCTATTGGTTAAATGTTTCCCTGACCTTATTAAAACTAAAATCAGGTTTTAATGAATTAAAGAAACATTGAAGTGGTCAAAGAAGTAAACACAAATCTACTTCTGCAAATCACATCTTCAAACCTGGAAGTTACTTCCCTTCTCCACTCTTAAGAGTAGTTTCAGGAATATTGCTCAGACATGACAAATCATATACTGTGCAAATCACAAGAGGCATAACTGTGGATAAAGGCAGTCAAAATGCAAACAGCAGTTTTAACTTATTGAGTGTCCAGAGATTTAATAATTACTCTATACCGTTCTGCAGCTCTTCACTTGTTCATGGCTTTCCATTAACAATAGAAAGAAAAGCACTAGTGTTACCTATTATTGAGTAGCCCAGACTGAAAAAAAATAAATAAAATCAAGCATATTTCAGCAAAAAATACACATGAACACCACCAGACCTTCAAAATTTCTGTAGTTATCCACAAACTGCAGTCTCAATACCCAGTTTAAACCTTACAGAAGGAAATACTAGTAATTGGAAGCAACAAATCTTAGAAATCAAACTCTAGGAATACAAAAAATTAGATTTAATTTAATAAAATAAAAGGCTTGGGGGGAAAAAAAAAAAAACAAAACCAAACCAAACCACAACACACCCCACAACACCAGAAAGTCACTCAGCCTTCTCAGAAGAATAGAAAGAACCTCCTCTCCTCTTCCGTTGGCTACATAATGTTCAAGCTGCATGGTAACCCAACTCACAGGTGATAGGGGGAAGAAACAGAGGAAATAGTGAAACAGGGAGACAAAAAAGCCAGGCAATTCTACATATAAGCCTCCTGTCATACCAACCTCAACAGACTGAAAGTACAAGTCTATCCACATGGCACTGTATAAACATCACCCAAACTGAAGACTCCTTGGGAAGAAGTATTCATGTTTCCAGGAAGGGACCAAAGCTGCTTTGGTCACTGCACTTTTTTCAGTACTTATATTCATACTCCTCTTCACATACTGGGAAACTGTGTCCAAATACAGGTACATTAACAGAAACAGAAGTGCGACCGCACAATCAAACATACCGACAAGTAACTCACATTGCTTCACAGAAAATAAATTGTGCTTATTTCTGAGAAGTAGAAGTGATCACACTGAAAAGTCTCCTTCTCAGTCTAGTTACTCAAGTCTGATCTTGTATTTGACATCTTCATTAAAAACCTTGTTTCCATCGTAGTGTTTGTGGAATTGTTCCAAATGCAACCACTGAAATCTCAACATCAACAGTTTATCAAACCTCTCTCGTGAGCGGTTATTGAATTGCTTCTCTTTTGAGGCTTTAGAAGCAGGCTCACAACCAAGTTCTTTTGCTGACAAGTCTGTTTTTAAAACACGACCCAAACCTTTAGCCATGAAGTCAATGTAGGTCCACAGAGAAGGTGCTAAATATAACTAAGTAGGAAGTGGTAAAGAAGTATTCCCATTCCAAGTCTGAAGTTACACCAGCCATGTGTACCAACAATGAGGGTACGCTTCAGAATACCTAGAGGAAAACCAGCCCAGCCCCAGGGTTTTAAAAGTGATACTAGATAAGCACAGAGTTTATCCACAGTGAAAACAAATCACTCCATGAATTTAAAGATCTTCAAATAGGTTGAACTTGCTCTCTTGAATAAGTTCAGTTCCAAATAACTGCAGCATTGATACAAAGCTGGTGTTAAAATGTCCAAAGCCAACAAGACCAAACCATGGAAAGACATTTCAACTAAATTCTGTTTTGCATACAAACAGTACTTCATAAAGAAACCAAGTATTCATTTATCTTCAAGCAACTTGGCACGATTTGCAGACACTGGAATCCTGATCCAGTACACTGGCTCTTGTCAGCAGCCGATTCCAATGCACCAACTCCACAAGTATCTTTGACACATGACAATTTTCATCAACTGCTAAAGTTACTTCCCAGTCCCAAATAGAAAGCATCCTTCTCCAGTTTTACATACATCAGATTATTACACGTAACCCTAACAGAGTAAGTTGGTTGAGGAGCTGTTGTACAGTTTCAAGCACCAGAATTTAAAGCAAAGGTTGCTGGACACTGCTTTGCTATTTGCAAAAGTTGCAGTAATAGCAGCAAACTTCTGGCTGCTCCTAATGGACTAGATTCAACAAGTAATACAGACCTCATATTCAAGGTTCTGCAGAAGAAATGACTCTTGCTTTCCCCTCTGTGATCTACTGCTATTGTTTCCCTGTATATCAAAGCTAAAAAAAATAAAATAAAGTAAGAATCACAGAGCACTTCTAGCACAATTTTACTTTCAGGTTTTCAGATGAGTAATAGTAGACTGTTCTCTCCTACTGCAAGGAAATCAGCCATCCTTAGACAAGCTTCCTTTTCCTCATTCACTGGCCAGAAAAAGAACAGTGAAAGCCGAACTGAAGTACACATGAGAAGTACAGCATTGTCTGTGAAGTGCTTCACAGATTAAAAACTAGAAGGATGTCTGGACAATCAATACAGACAAAGATTCTTATTGTTGATCAGCTTCTGCCAGTGAAACATTTGTTAATACATGCATAATACAAAAAAAGGCATTCTTAAGAAAACTGTATACTTTAGAAATACAAGTATTAAATCCTTCAGGCAGACTACATGTAGGAAAATATCATTATAAAAATATATACTTTTCTAGAATTTACACTGTGTTAGGCACCGTAAATAAACCTGCTCTCCCTGAAAAAAAAATTATGTCACTGGAAGCAGTAAACAATGGAAATTATATGGCCTGCAGTAGACTGACAGCTACAGCTACTTCCAGTAATTTTTCAGTCACATTTCCATCTCAAACCTAAAACTACCATGCCAAAGTCTTTTTGAGAAGACTGGAACTCTTACTGAACTACAAATCCATCTACTGAACCCTCAAGAAGCAAAGATGAGAAGAAGAGAATTTACTTTTCTTCTAATAAATTTTTTTAAAAAGAC